TTTCGGTATGTTTGAATTTATACGAATGCCTTTCGGACTAAGAAATTCAGCGCAAACTTTTCAAAGATTTATTAATGAAGTAGTTAGTGGTTTAGATTTTGTTTTTACATATATTGATGATCTATTGGTTGCAAGTGAAAATGAAGAACAGCATTTTAAAGATCTCCGTATTCTTTTCCAACGCCTAACAGAGTACGGGTTAGATATCAAACCAAGTAAATGTACTTTCGGTGTAACAAGTGTTGACTTTTTAGGACATAATATTTCTGGGGCAGGAATTAGACCCTCTGATGAAAAAGTGATAGCTATTCGTAGTTTTGAACGTCCTAAATCTATTAAACAGGCGCAGAAATTTATAGGCATGGTTAATTATTACCATCGATATGTACCAAAATTAGCTGAGTTTACGGCAGTTATCTACGATTTAATCAATCGAACAACTAAGAAACGCGATAAGTCCTTAATTTGGGGTGACAACAAATAAAGCCTTTGAATGTATTAAAGAAAAGTTTGCGTCTACGATATTGTTAAATCATTTTAACAAAGATGCCAAACTCTCTTTAAATGTGGATGCATCTAATACGGCAATTGGTGGTGTCATACATCAAACGTTTGATAACAAATCAGAGCCACTAAAATCATTTTGACAAAGATGACAAACTCTCTTTAAATGTGGATGCATCTAATACGGCAATTGGTGGTGTCATACATCAAACGTTTGATAACAAATCAGAGCCACTAAAATCATTTTGACAAAGATGACAAACTCTCTTTAAATGTGGATGCATCTAATACGGCAATTGGTGGTGTCATACATCAAACGTTTGATAACAAATCAGAGCCACTAAAATCATTTTGACAAAGATGACAAACTCTCTTTAAATGTGGATGCATCTAATACGGCAATTGGTGGTGTCATACATCAAACGTTTGATAACAAATCAGAGCCACTAGCTTTCTTTTCTAAGAAACTTTCTCCATCCGAAGTTAAGTACAGTTCATTTGACAGGAGTTGCTAGCTATTTATTTGAACATTAAACATTTTCGCTATCTTTTAGAAGGACGACAATTTACAGTTTTTACNCCAAACTCTCTTTAAATGTGGATGCATCTAATACGGCAATTGGTGGTGTCATACATCAAACGTTTGATAACAAATCAGAGCCACTAGCTTTCTTTTCTAAGAAACTTTCTCCATCCGAAGTTAAGTACAGTTCATTTGACAGGAGTTGCTAGCTATTTATTTGAACATTAAACATTTTCGCTATCTTTTAGAAGGACGACAATTTACGGTTTTTACAGATCACAAGCCTTTGATATATGCTTTGACAGGTGAGAATCCTACGCCATTTGTTCCAAATTGTTTACGCAAGACAGTGTTTAATATGTTACATGGCATTACACATCCTGGTACAAAGGCTACACATCGTCTAATTATTAAAAAGTACTATTGGCCAAAAATGCACAAAGAAATTAACACTAAGTCAAAAGAATGTATAAATTGTCAAAAATCGAAAGTTAATCGTCATACTAAATCTCCAGTAATTAAAATTCCGATTCCCAAAAGTAGATTTGATCATATTCATTTAGATATTGTTGGACCTCTTCCTGTATCGAAAGGGCATCGTTACATTTTTACAATAGTTGACAGGTTCACTCGGCCCGAGGCATACGCGTTAAAGGACATTTCAGCGGCAATGGTTGCAAATAAATTTTTTAGAAAATATGTTTCACGTTTTGGGGTACCGTTAAAAATCACTACAGATCAGGGTACTCAGTTTATGTCAAAATTGTTTTCGGAACTAACAAAATTGCTTGGTAGTCATCACGTTACAACTTCTGCATATCATCCTCAAGGGAATGGTATGGTAGAACGGTTTCACAGGCANAAAATCACTACAGATCAGGGTACTCAGTTTATGTCTAAATTGTTTTCGAAACTAGCAAAATTGCTTGGTAGTCATCACGTTACAACTTCTGCATATCATCCTCAAGGGAATGGTATGGTAGAACGGTTTCACAGGCAGTTAAAAGCTACGATAATGGCTAGAAATGGAATCAACAATTGGTATGATGAGCTGCCGATAATACTTCTTGGTTTACGATCGATGTATAAAGAAAGTATTTCAGCCACATCATCTGAGATGGTTTTTGGGCAAAATNGTGGTTCCATGTGAATAAAATTTTTCCCAACTGTAGTATTAGGCTATTTGCGGGAACATTTTAAAAATGTTAAATCAAATTTATAACATAATCAGAATTCTGATACTGGCGTATATATACCAAAGGATTTGGAGATTTGTAAATTTGTTTTTATGCGTGTTATTAATAAAAGATCATTGCAACAACCATACGAAGGACCTTATAAGGTTGTTGAAAAAAAACAAAAAATATTTCAAACTTGAAGTAAATAATGAGGTTAAAACAATTCCGATAGACAGACTAAAACCAGCAAACAGAACTAATACCAGAAACAAACACTAATACAATGAATAACACAACATCAAATAAGAAACGAGTTACTTTTAATTTATATAACATTAATTCTCTAGATGGGGGAGTATTGTAGGGTTTGAATTAGTGTTACTGTCTTTTATTGTACTGTGTTAATTTCAACTTCGTAATTTTAGAAATTGTATATTTAAGTGATTTTGTAGTTCAAACATCAAAGAGAAAATTAGATTACTTCAAATATTTTTCTTGAGTTGTAAACAACATAATTTCATTTGGATTTTTAGATTAAACCTTTTTTGAATAAATTTATATATTGTTAACTACAGCTGCAAAAACATTTACAAAAATAATAAATTGGTTAGCAAAAATATGTGCTACAAAATTGCTTGCATTTTTTTCTTTATGCTTCGTCTTCATATTCTTTGTTTACTTTTCGAAGAAAATAACATGGCGCCGAAATTACAATCGTCAGCCAGAAAATTACTTTTTTCTTTTGCTTCATCTTGTCAGATCTTGTGTGTTGGATCATGAAAGAAGGGGGGCTGAACACCTTTTGCAGAGAAAACCTTTCGCCGCACTTAGGGATTATAACCCTCAGGCAGTAGAATTCTGTTTTGCGAAGAAAAGGAGCTGAACATCTTTTGCAGAGAACACCTTTGTATATTTTTAATGCTTACTAGGTTATATCATCTTGTGTCTCATTCTTTTACATATTTTGGAGTTTGCCAGCTGAACTCCGCCATTTAATTTGCATATGCAACCAAAGTCAGACGCGTGATTTTGAATGTGTTTTTATTTAATGAATTGTGATGATGTGTGATTAATCGAGTAAAGTGTAAAGTGAAGGGGAATACAAAAATATATTGGTGAAGTGGCTGCTTTAAGGAGAATAGGAGTGATAAATGTACGCTAATTTCCNGCAACAACCATACGAAGGACCTTATAAGGTTGTTGAAAAAAAACAAAAAATATTTCAAACTTGAAGTAAATAATGAGGTTAAAACAATTCCGATAGACAGACTAAAACCAGCAAACAGAACTAATACCAGAAACAAACACTAATACAATGAATAACACAACATCAAATAAGAAACGAGTTACTTTTAATTTATATAACATTAATTCTCTAGATGGGGGAGTATTGTAGGGTTTGAATTAGTGTTACTGTCTTTTATTGTACTGTGTTAATTTCAACTTCGTAATTTTAGAAATTGTATATTTAAGTGATTTTGTAGTTCAAACATCAAAGAGAAAATTAGATTACTTCAAATATTTTTCTTGAGTTGTAAACAACATAATTTCATTTGGATTTTTAGATTAAACCTTTTTTGAATAAATTTATATATTGTTAACTACAGCTGCAAAAACATTTACAAAAATAATAAATTGGTTAGCAAAAATATGTGCTACAAAATTGCTTGCATTTTTTTCTTTATGCTTCGTCTTCATATTCTTTGTTTACTTTTCGAAGAAAATAACATGGCGCCGAAATTACAATCGTCAGCCAGAAAATTACTTTTTTCTTTTGCTTCATCTTGTCAGATCTTGTGTGTTGGATCATGAAAGAAGGGGGGCTGAACACCTTTTGCAGAGAAAACCTTTCGCCGCACTTAGGGATTATAACCCTCAGGCAGTAGAATTCTGTTTTGCGAAGAAAAGGAGCTGAACATCTTTTGCAGAGAACACCTTTGTATATTTTTAATGCTTACTAGGTTATATCATCTTGTGTCTCATTCTTTTACATATTTTGGAGTTTGCCAGCTGAACTCCGCCATTTAATTTGCATATGCAACCAAAGTCAGACGCGTGATTTTGAATGTGTTTTTATTTAATGAATTGTGATGATGTGTGATTAATCGAGTAAAGTGTAAAGTGAAGGGGAATACAAAAATATATTGGTGAAGTGGCTGCTTTAAGGAGAATAGGAGTGATAAATGTACGCTAATTTCCGAATTTTACAAAAAAGGGTGAAAATCAAATCGAAATAATAAAAGAACTTTAGGTTTAAATCTAATTATTTATTAGTTGCCGTTTAATGAACGATAGAATTACAAGTTTGTCTTTTGTTGAAAAATGAACATAACTAAAAACCGAACTCCGCTTGACATATATTGAAACTCAACCCACGCCAAACGTTTAACCCTTAGTCGTCTTCAAAAAGCGCAGGGTTGTATTTAGAGAATAAAAGTTATAAAGTAAAGTAATATTGAACATTCCGCCCCCCTTGAAAGCATCTGCTTTCAAACGTCCAAAAACNTTCCGCCCCCTCTTGAAAGCATCTGCTTTCAAACGTCCAAAAACAACGGACATAGTTTCACTATTGGTCGCTTGAGTGATCCTTTTGCAGTCTTTAGCGTTACTACACGAACGAGCCCGTCAGCACCAGGATGTAGTTCAGTGATTCTTCCAATTGCCCATTTGGATGGCGGCAGGTTGTCATCCTTTATGATGACCACGTCGTCGATTTGTAAATTGTCCATCTTATGCGTCCACTTAGGTCGCTGTTGTAGTTGAATGAGGTATTCTCTTGACCATTTCTGCCAGAATTATTGGACAAGGCGCTGAAGATACTGCCATCGATTTAGAGAATTTTCTTTCAAATTTAGCATGTTCTCGTCTGGTATTGTTGTAGATGATCGTTGAATTAAAAAATGTGCAGATGTTAATGGGTCAAGATCGCCCTCGAACTTAACGCACAATGGACGGGAGTTAAGGCAGAATTCGATCTGACATAACACCGTTTGCAATTCTTCGTAGGTGACTGAAGTATCAGCTAGCGTGCGCTTCAAGTGGTGTTTCATCGATTTCACACCAGCTTCCCAGATACCACCAAAGTGCGGTCCGGACGGAGGCGAGAAGTGCCACTGAATATGCTGGTCAGCGAGTTCACGTGTGGTACCATCTTGTGTTGTAGGTGACTGCAGCAATTGGTGAATTTCTCGCAGTTGCTGATCAGCCCCAACAAAATTGGTTCCATTATCGGAATAGATGTGCATAGGTTTTCCGCGCCTGGCGATAAAACGACGTAAAGCGGCTATAAAAGCAGCGGTAGATTGTTCGGTGACCAATTCAATGTGAACGGCTTTTGTGGCGAGGCACACAAAAAGCGCAATCCAACATTTGTACAGCCGTGTGCCACGACCCTTCCATGAACGGATCTGGATTGGCCCTGCGAAATCCACTCCCGTATTCAGAAACGCGCTGCCTGGATTCAATCGTGGACGAGGGATGGTGACCATTTGTTGCTGGTGTGGAATGCCACGCTGTCTCATACAGACAGTACACTTATAAATACAGCGCTTGATGGTAATCTTGCCGCGGGGAATCCAGTAGCGAATATCCAGTAAGTAAAGAAGTTGCCGGTTTCCAGCATGCAAATTTCTCACGTGATAATCATTTATGATAAGCTTTGTCAACTGATGATCCTTGTTGAGAATAATAGGATGCTTCTGATCGTAGTTTACATCTGCATTCGTGATTCTTCCCCCAACTCGTAACACGTCATTGCCATCAATGAAAGGGGATAGCATGGCCAATTTGTGTGAAACTAGCAATTGCTTACCCTGACGTAAGCTTCGTAATTCCGGCGCATATGATGCTGTTTGAGCTTTCCTAACCAAAGCGTTATGCGCCCGCAGTAGTTCATTTGTTGTTAAAAACGATTTTGACATTTCAAGCTTTGATTTCATAGCCTTACAATTATCTGTAAATCGTAACAAAAGCGCTGTCACTCGTAGAAGGTTAGTGTAGCAGGAATATCGGTCGAATATGTCAATTTCTTCAACGGTGGCTACATGGGACATCGTTTCTTTTCGTTCTTCTAAATCAGTATCCTCAGGAACGGTTGGTGTATGATCACATGTTGTGACCAGTTGTCTTAACTCATTTGGGCCATGCCACCATAGCTGGTTTTTGATGAGCTCGTTAGGCCAAATTCTCCTCGTGGCCAGATCTGCAGGATTTTGCTGTGACGATATATGTCGCCATTGTTCTGCTGGTATGACCTCAAGTATTTGAGCCGTCCTGTTGGCAACAAACGTTTTCCAGCGACGTGGATGGTCTGATAACAAGGCCAGAACGACTGTTGAATCAGTCCATCCGACAACTGCGGCGTCTAACAAGTTCAGGGCGCTGCGAACTTTTGTCATTAGTTTTGTCATAAGATGTGCGGCGCACAATTCCAGACGAGGTAAACTAACTTGCTTAACCGGCGCAACTTTCGTCTTAGCAGCAATCAAGTTTGTTCGAAATGCATCTTTCGCATATGGGATACGCATGTAGATTGCTGCTGAATAAGCCTGCTCTGATGAATCAGCAAACCCATGCAACTCAACGCTCGTTTCGTCCGCGAATTCCAACCATCTCGGAATTCGTAGCTTTTGAATGTCGTTGATGTTTTGCCGATACTCTGTCCATTTATTATAGAGATCGTTGGGTAACTCTTCATCCCAGCCAAGACCTCGCAGCCAAAGTTTCTGCATAAATATTTTCATTGCGATTACGACTGGTGACAACCATCCCATGGGATCGAAGATTTTTGCGATGTCTGACAATACCGCGCGTTTTGTCACAGTTTGCTCGATTATTGGTAGATTTACGCTGTACTTAAAGCAGTCTCGTGATGTATCCCAAAGGAGTCCAAGTGTTTTAATTGCCTGAGATGTGTCGATTATAGTTTCTGAATTTAATTCCCGGTCTCGTGTCTCAATTGACTGCATGAACGTTCCAGAATTTGATGCCCATTTTCGTAAATGAAACCCACCTTTCGACAAGATGGTGCAAAGCTCATTTTTGAGCTCTATTGCTGAGCGCGCATTAATGGCACATGCCATAAAATCGTCGACGTAAAAATGCTGCTTAATTGCCTTTGCTGCCAAAGGAGCATCGATTTCGAAGTCATTCGCAACTTGATGTAACGTCCTGATAGCTAAGAATGGCGCTGCTGAAGTACCATATGTTACTGTTTTGAGATTGTACTCCTTTGGTAATTCGTCCTTCGCGTCTCTCCATAAAATACACTGCAATGAACGGTCCTTTGGATGTATAAGCACCTGACGATACATCTTCTCTATATCGCCAGAAAATGCGACTGCATACTTGCGAAAATTTGTTATAATTTCGAACAGATCTTTTTGTATAGTTGGCCCCACTAATAAGTTGTCATTGAGCGACACGCCACTTGTTGTCTTACACGACGCATCGAACACCACACGCAACCTCGTGGTAGTGCTAGTTGGTTTTATCACCGCGTGATGCGGTAGGAAATATGTCCTGTGAAGGTTGCAGCTTATGGATGGCTCCATGTGACCCAACTCACTGTACTCGCGCATGAAACTCTTATACTCAATTTGAAGTTGAGCATCGTTAGTGAAACGTCGTTCCATTGCATATAACCGCTTTAAAGCAGCTGTACGGGACTCGCCGAGATTAGCCTGATCCCCTTTCAGTGGAAGGCTGACTATATATCGTCCACTACTATCTCGCTGCATGGTTTTTGATAGTGCTCTTCTGCACTTTTTTCCTCTGGTGTGAGATGTTGATTAGGCCCTGCAATGTCTTCCACTTCCCAGAAGCGCTGAAGCTGTTTGCCTAAATCCAGGAAGGTATGTGCAGTCACCAAATGTGTCTCGCGTGTGGCAGGTATTTTGCCCATAATAACCCAACCGAAGATTGTGTTTATAGCAGTTGGTGACCCTAATGGATGAGTCAACTTCTCTGGCAGAACGCACTCGGAAAATACATCAGCACCCAATATGACGTCGATTTTTCCCGGCTTGGAATAACATGGATCTGCCAGCTGCTTACCTTTCAAGAATTCATGATTTTGATGGATCATTTCGTAAGCTGGTAAATTTTGCGTTAAATTAGCCAAGCAGAGTGCCTCCGCCTCAACCACGTCGCTTCCTAGCCCTTTGATGCGTAAATTGATTTTACCCTTAGTGCAGCTGCCATTCGCAGAACCAATTCCATATAGCAATGTTCTGTCAAATCTTCGTTTTAGCTGGAGACGTTCCGCACAAGCCTCCGAAATGAGAGTGCCTTGAGACCCGGAATCCAGCAGTGCACGGCAAGGTTGCAAATTGTTAAAAACATCGTATATCTTCACTATCGCCGTAGGTAGTAAAGAAAGAGAGCGCGATAATTGTTGTGCACTGTTCACACTGATGGTAGCTGCCTCATCAGGTGCAACAGGTGTAGTTTCACGTTGTTGTTTATCGGTCGGTGCTGAAATGTGCAGCAAGGTGTTATGCTTGGCATTGCATTTTCGGCACGTTGAACTTTTACATACTGATGCTCGATGATTCAGTTGTAAACAATTAAAACAGGCATTACTGCGTTGCACTATCTTCCGACGAGCTTCGACATTCATTTCCTTAAATTGGTTACAATTGTACAGAAAATGTTCCCTTGCACATACGGGGCACGACTGAACAGTGGCGATGTATGCGCGAGATTGGTTGCGCTTATAGTTGCTAGTACCTTGACTGGTATTGTGGCTACCCCTCTGCGTATTCTCCAGTTCGACAACTCTGATTTCCAAAAATTCTAAAAACTGTTGAAAGGTTGCTACTTCGTCTGATTTCTTACCCCTGTACCAGAGCACAAGCGTATCTGCGTCNGATTCAGTTGTAAACAATTAAAACAGGCATTACTGCGTTGCACTATCTTCCGACGAGCTTCGACATTCATTTCCTTAAATTGGTTACAATTGTACAGAAAATGTTCCCTTGCACATACGGGGCACGACTGAACAGTGGCGATGTATGCGCGAGATTGGTTGCGCTTATAGTTGCTAGTACCTTGACTGGTATTGTGGCTACCCCTCTGCGTATTCTCCAGTTCGACAACTCTGATTTCCAAAAATTCTAAAAACTGTTGAAAGGTTGCTACTTCGTCTGATTTCTTACCCCTGTACCAGAGCACAAGCGTATCTGCGTCGAGCTTTTTCTCCAAATGAAACAGTAAAATTGAGTTCCATTGTTGAACTGGCTCTTCGAGTACTTTCAAAGCATTTACACACTCATTTGTGGTGTTGTAAATTCGTTTAATCTCAGCTACTGATGATGTTTTCATGGAGGGTTGGTCAAAAAGCAATTCCAAGTATGCCTTCTTTACTCTGTCTGACTTGTCGTATTTTCGCTTTAATAGCTCCCACGCCACAATATAATTTGCGTTGGTTGGCTTCAAATGCTTTATAAGCGACAATGCCTCTCCCTGCATTTTGGTTTGCAAGTACTCGAATTTTTCGATGCCAGAAATATTTTCTCTGTTATGCACGAGCGTTTCAAATAAATCCCGAAAACGTATCCACTCGCACTCCCATCAAATTGTGGAATTTCTATTCGTGGTAAACGTAATCCATGTTGTTGTTGATGTGTTGTGTTGTTGGCTTCAACTACCGGCGTTGATGCATTGTGGCCAATGCTCTCAATCAATGCACCCATTGTGCCCTGATGTTCAATAAGCGTCTGCACCGCCGTCGAGATGTCGTTGACTGACTGCCTATTGTCTATGATTGTGCGGTTGTTATCCATTTCATCGAGAATATGTGCACAAATCGACTTTATTCCGAAATATTTGTCCTCAATGTGTGCGCGGTAAGCTTCTTCCTCCGCCTGCTGCTCGCCTGCTGTTGTTAAATAGTCGATTTCTTGCTGGATCTGCTCGTATTTCTGAAACAACTCTTCTGTCCTTTGTGCGCGTACTCTTATTTCCGCAGTTGTTGAGTTTTAATCCGCAACAGCATTAGCAATACGTGTCAAGCTGCTTTTTATTGTTTGCCTCTGAGATTTCAGTTTTTCCATTTTGTGTTTTGTTTGTTTTTATTATTTGACAGTTTGTACTTTCAGTACGCAGGGTCACCGCCGAATGTAATTGTTTTAAGTGTTGGTAAATGATTTATTTTTTACGATTTTTTATTGACTACTAGATGTCGCCGTTATCTGTCTGCCACTAGATGGTACTGATACAATGTAGCTTCTCTGCTGAAAACTAGCGCTCCACTGGGCGCTAAAATGATGCAGACTTCCTCCGCTAACGCTCACTGCTGATATAACCGAGATTGATAATTCCTGATGAGACACAACCGTCTGTGCGCTGCTGCTAAATGATGCCTCACGCTGTCGCGCTTGTTGCCGAAATCTCTCCAACTTACTGCTCCTATACGTTTTCACACCCTTGTGTGCCGCTGCGAAAATGATGGCTCACGCTGTCGCGCTTGTTGCCGATTATGATGATGCTCTGTGCGCGTCAGGATTATACAACTGACTCAGAATCGATGAAAAACGAAGCGTCGTAAGCTAAGTAAGCGAAATTTTTAATTGAGGTTATGAACAATCAACAAACTTCTATGTTCATCCGGCTCCGAAGGACCAATGAAAATCAAATCGAAATAATAAAAGAACTGTAGGTTTAAATCTAATTATTTATTAGTTGCCGTTTAATGAACGATAGAATTACAAGTTTGTCTTTTGTTGAAAAATGAACATAACTAAAAACCGAACTCCGCTTGACATAAATTGAAACTCAACCCACGCCAAACGTTTAACCCTTAGTCGTCTTCAAAAAGCGCAGGGTTGTATTTAGAGAATAAAGGTTATCAAGTAAAGTAATATTGAACAAAGGGCATATTTCAAACCCAATTTGTAATTAAATTAGTGACCACAAATTACCAAAGTGGGTGTTAAAATAATCCGTAGACGCTTGACTACAAGTGTGTGTAATTTGTTTGGATCGGGCCACCCCTTTGGACGGAATAGCCCGAAATAGTTGGGAGCGCTACTAAACCCTACCCTTTACCGTTATTCAGCTTAAAGCAAAAATTGTTTCCTTTTAATCTCGTATATCTTACAAAATAATTCAAAAATCTTAATATAAAATACGGCAAATGAAAGCCAATGAAATTCTCCATAAACCGTATATATATCACTTTTCAATAGGGCTTATAGTTCTAACAAATTAATTAATCATTCCAGCTTTTTTTATTTTTTAATGAAAAAATTAAAAACAATCAAACTTTAACAGAAGAAAAACTAAAAGAATAACATGTGCTGTGCCAAATATTTGAATTTGTACTAAAGCCTGTTCTGTTACAAAAAAAAATAAAAAATCAAGTTTCTGATGAAGAAAATCGATGGTTAAATACGAAATAATGAGTGGTAAAAAAATTTCGTAAGATTATGTGTATGAAAATTTAGCACGAAAGAATGTCAGTCATAAGTGACGCGCTGTTCTGCTCATATTTCATGCAAAAAATCTTTGCGCATTTTCATTTGACCACTCATTATTTCGTATTTATCCATCGATTTCCTTCATCAGTGACTTGATTTCTTTTTGTAGCAGAACAGGCTTTAGTACAAATGCAAAAATTTGGCAAAGGATTGTTTTTTTTAATTTTCCTTCTGTTAAAGTTTAATTTTTTTTTAATTTTTTCGTTAAAAAATAAAAAAAGCTGGAATGATTAATTAATTTGTTAGAAACTATAAACCCTATCGGAAAGTGATGTATATACGGTTTATGGAAAATTTCTTCGGCTTTCATTTGCCGTATTTTATATTAAGAGTTTTTAATTGGTTCGTAAGATATATATGATTAAAAGAAACCAATTTTTGCTTTAAGCTGAATTACGGTAAATTGCAAATATCTCGAAAACGTATCCATAGAAAAAAAAAATTAACACGAATTTCGGAATCATCGAGCAATTCTACATAGAAGTTGGATAGTGGCGTCTGGAGAACGAAAACCAAATTAGAATTTGTTGTTGTTGTTGTTGCAGCGGCTACTAAGCCCCGTTCGGGGCGGTTCATCCATCAACGTTGTCGTCGATTTCAGCTAGGGGGAGGCCCAGGAAGTGCGCTACTTTCAAAGGGGCTGTCCATAGGGACAGGGGCGTTAGCTGAGTGGGGTTCTCAGGCCATGTGAAGAGGTGCCGGGAGTCATGTGGCGACTCTCCACATGCAGGGCATTGGTTGGGCACATCCTCGTTGATTCTGCTCAGGTAGCTGTTGAGCCTGCTGCAATAGCCAGAGCGAAGTTGGGCTATTGTAGTGTGGGTCTCCCGAGGCAGACAAAGTTCTGTCCCGTCCACGTCCGGTGGTTGTGTCGGTAGGTTGACGGGTCCAGATGTTGTTTGATATACCTGTGGACTTCGTCTGTCAGTTCGTAAAGATGGCATCCTGTCGCAGTTCGTAGTGCCGTGTTTTGGCAGGTCTGTAGTTTCATCCACTGCGTCCTGCTAGTCCCCGGCGACCATACGGGCGCTGCGTAGTTTAGAACCGGCCGGCCAATTGCCTTGTATGTTGCCAACAACGTTTCTTTATCTTTGCCCCAAGTGCTGCCGGCCAGCGACTTGGGGACATTGTTGCGGCTCTGTACTTTGTTGACA